TCCTGCACAATAGTTCATTAAAAGCTCTTAACAGATAAAAACCATAGTCACCATAAGTGAAAATACACAATGACACTTTTTCGTCAATATCCCACAAGTACAGAAGTACATAAACATGCAATAAACTGACAGTAAGTGCTCATAGCGTGGCTGTGAGCAATAGCAACCATATTGTTCCCGTTGTAAATCATGCTTTGTACATCTGATTAATTACTTAGGTGCGAATATTATATTGATTGAAGTTACTCAACTATCAATGACTGACATAGCTCTTCATATGGAGTTTAAATCAAAGCGAAACTGGTTTAGAAAAATGTTATATTATGAGGTAGATGACGTATTTACTGAATATAATATTTTGTAAAGAATTTGCAGGCGTGCTGTTCACGGGGAGGCTTCAAAGCAAGTCGATATTCTTGATGCAGAGACTTATGCATAAATGTATGAAACAGGTCCACACTAGGCTACTGTTAATGGGCAAAACGTTCTTTGTTTGACAGCAGAGGGACCTAACACTAGTACTCAATACCGTAAGAGTATTCCTCCATTGAAATGTACGTCCTTGCAGATATAATCATTCGGAGTTGTTTCATACTGATCTTGTACTCCACCTGAACATGAAACTCTACACACTGAATAAGAAGGTTTTTTGAATGCATAATGCGTCACATATTTTAACGAAAAAAGAACACAAACTTTTAAACTTTCAAACTGACAAACGTGTTCTATCATTGTATAACTGGAATACTAATCACTCACTCACTCTTCTGCCATTGTATGAATTAATTTGTCACAAAAATATGTACACCTTCAGAAACTACTTGTCTATGCATTGATGGTAACTGTTTTAGTGTGGTTATTTAACATTTTAACATCTATACACAGTGTTCCCTTTCTGTCGGATGTAGCCGTCTCAATTCCCCAATATACTCCCGACTGGTGGCATTTCGTTTGACTGAATATCAGTTGACGTATCAATATAACACAAGGTTTTTCTGAGTGAATCCAACAAACAGAGAATTGCAGACATATCTGTTAATCCTTTGTAATACTTACAAACACCATCATTACTACTGTTACACGGCACCAAGGATTGTTCATTGTTAGAGCAATATTCCTAATGTCTCCAGAATAGTTAATCTCGGTACATTGTCTGCGCACCCGTAAGATCAATCAAGCAACTAATCACCCCAGAGTGACAAGTCTCGCTTAATCCAAATCTAATTGCACATTACCACGGACAAGGGCCCACATGTTGTGATATTACTTTGCAAATGGTACATGTAGATCATTAGCAACGTATTGTTATCTTTGATATTAATGGACTACTGCTACTGAGAAGCCATCAGGTTCCCGGGTAACGTCCATCGACCTGTCCAATCCGTTGTCAGTTGCATGTAACTGTCGAATGTATATGTGCCGAGCATCACATATGGCAGGACGAGCATGTATAAATTATTGTTCCGCATAAGGACATTGATATGGGTAAATGAACTTCTGATAATACGTGCCTACTCCTGTGCGTCTTGCCAAAGGAAAGTTTATGGCACATTGTTCACCAGACAGCAACTGTGTCTGGTCTGTTGAACACGTGCTGTTATAATTTGATATATTTGTGTAATGTGCCTTTTCTTGTGTGACCATTCTAATCGACTTCTGGTACATCGTATTGGTTCCTTTGTGAATCATATCGATATAAATACATGTTTGCTTTCCCGAGAAAACCCTATCCGCTCAGTCATAGTATACCATACCCCCTGGAGGGCAACACATGCTCAGATATAATGAAGCCCAGGGATTTATTTTTAATGACTTCATTGTTATTATCCCTTAAGTTATCCTCGCTTTTTCAATAAATAAATCCTCATGTATCCCTTTGTTACTAAAAGTACAACCGTTTAATAACTCACATAGTTCAAGAAGAATTACGATGATATTATCCATTTTGGGAAAGAATATAATTTAACGCAAGTACTTATATTCTAGGAGACTTCCAGGTGAATGTTGTTTCATTTTGGACCACAGAAAGACCATGGTAGCTTGGACGCGGATGTTGGCCAGATCAGCTAGTCATTACGTCTTACCGATATAGTGATTACACACGTCCCCGGGGGAAGTGTATTGTCTTCTAATGACTGGCAGACAGTGCTGCTCCTAAATCCCGAGGATACGTCCTTCTGAGTTCAGGTGTTTCCTGAACAACAACACCAGGTACTTGCGCCTGGGCTGATGGAGGGCCAGCTTCATATCCGAGGGGAAGCATCTAATTAGGGCCGACGTCGCGACTTTTGTAGGAGCAGGCTTGTTCAGATAAAAGAAAAATGTGCATACACATTTCTCCCTTTAGTGAGGCATGGTGCCACTTTTCGTAATTGGTGTCAGCTCTCATGTTGTCACCTTTGAGAAATCAGCCTGGAAAGGTTCACGGCATATGTTCTTAGGAGATTTACACGGCTTCCCCTGGTCATGTTTATGAAGAAATAATCATCTGACCCAATACCGACACAAGTGCAGTCGCCGGCGATCTGATTAAGGAATTCGTCTGCCCGTTGTATTAAATGTGCATTATTAATTAATCAGTTATATAACTTGATATTACATTTAAAAAGGCCGATCTGAAGGTCATATGGGTTGTTCGTACACATGAATTTAACCGTTAATGACACAGTGGGGAGTTGTATGTGTGCTATGTATTTAATACAATTACACTTGATAAACTTATATTGAATCCTTGTGAAATTCAAGGATTCGTCGTCATTCTGAAATGTGTCTCAGTTGAGACATTTTGTCGGTTTTATGTCAAATGTAACTGTGAATAGTCCGCGTTCTGAATAAAAGACAAACCTCTGAAGAATTATATATGTATCAATGAAGAATTAATCTACATCATAATACGGGGCGCCTGCTGGTGAGAGGTCACTTGGGCTTTTACCAGTCCGCAATATTTTACAACGCTGACTTTCGAGGAAGCGGTCGTGTCCTGGGAGAATATTTGATGGATATGTCTCGACCAGGCATGCCCTAACCAAGAACAGTAGAGTGTATCTGGTTCCTAAGCTGAAATATGTGATAGAAATTATGATATGCCATGAAGTACTACAGTATTGTACTCAAATCTCGCAAAAAGAGATGGGGCTTTGCTATAAAGCTTGGTTCGTCTTGATTGAATGGAAAGCAAGGATGATTTACGGCTGCACCAAGAATAATCTCTTGAAGGAGAGAATTACACCGTTGATATGTATTTAACAAAGAAGATTGTGACATTTATTCTGACATTTAGGTAAAATACTTTTCACATCGATTTATTAATGCGTTACATCTCAGCATTATTTTCGCATTCTCTTTTCATCATGCTCTACACACAAATCAGATTACACGTACCAGCAGTCTGTCATTTTACATCACCTTGACATAATGCTTCTGAATATTTGGACGTGTTAATCAAAATTGTATTCTCGTCTAAAAGTGTTGATCTGATGTGGACATCTTCTGATTTGTCAGAACAGCTGCTATCTTAATTATGTCGTAATAAGGACAACATGAAAACTGTGGAAGATGGTCGATAAAATGTCCACATATTACTTCCAAAGGTGAAACCTTTTCAAAAACAAATGTTACAAAGCTATCAAAGTTAACACACTTTGAGTGAACATTACCGCAAAACATTACTCTCCTCAGAGACTCGAAGACTTCGGAAAAAAGAGGTTTAATTCTGAAAGACTTTCAAGAAGAGTAATACATTCAGAGAGTCAAGTCATCAATTCACCGTCTAAGGAAATCTCTTGGAGCATCCGTCAAGAATGCTGACATAGGTGCCAAGTGTTCTGGAAAGGGCGAATAAGTCGCGTTCCGATCTGAGGGCCCGCGTCCCCTCTGACGTCCCAATGCTAGGGAGTGTCAGGCAGTAATCGTCCACGACAGCGGGACACGGCAGCCCGGGGCGCAGAGGTGCTAACTCCCACTTTCTGCGCACAGAATTCGCCGAATAATTTAATTATTCAAATTTGATTTGGTTTAAAGCATGTCTAGTACTGATGCCTGACTCCAAACCCCTTACAAAGAAGATCAATTCTTTAGCGCCATATTTTCAAAACCGGCAATGAGTAATTCCTGTTTTGAGTAATGTGTGTTAATAGTTCAATAATGTCTCAATCAGCTGTGTAAAACATCATAAACCTTCATGTGCAGGAGTTGGTTTTACATAAAATAATGTATCTTTTCAAACACAAAACTAAAATACGCGAATGGGAACTCAAGCTATGTAGGATGTCAGTTATGAAACACTACGAATGGCACTTGCGATTATAAATATTCATACTGGTTATGTAACATGATGGACCCAGCGCAAATTGTTCCAGTGGTTGGAGCTATTTGATAAAACGGCGAACCCGATGCGAGTGTGTTTTAAGTGACCATTTTCAAAAGCGCAAGTGTTCCCATCACATGTACAATCTATTGTCAAGTACAGAGCGTTGCAGAGTTGTGAATCCGGCATAGCGAATGTTGAGTATGTTCCAACTTCTTGAAAACGAGTAATCAATTATTCCGCATTGCTATTCCTCGGAGGAATTCCTCCATCTAACAGTAGGTCTGTCAATAAAAGCTCTCGTTGCAAATGTAATGGAGAAAGGGGAACATTGCAGGCTTCATTACTTGCTACTAAATTTCTTACCCATAATTTCTAGCGTTGCCTTAGAGATGCTTTATAATGAAATTCTTCTTGATTGCTTTCTCTCCATAAAACTCGTATTCTTTTGAGACAAAACTGCGAAAGCAGGGTGAATTAATTCCAAATTAGTCCGACCGTAGGAGCTAGTCTCTCGCTTACTTATCGACAAACAGATCCATTCTATATTATGATTTAACTGCTCATAATTAAAATACAGTAATTCAAGAACATTACTAAATAATCAACTGTCAGATCGTGTACTTTGAATCTCAAAATGAAACTTTACAGGTTCGTTAATCGCCGTAGAAAAGTTCTAACCAAATATTCTTACCTCTGTTACCTTCGGCCTCAGTCCTTGAACGGTAAACACGTAAATTCAGTTCCTTAGTTTCTTCACTTAGGGTTTGTTCTGTTTCTTTTAAAATTTAGCTGTGAGGATTTATAGAAACCAGCTTTCGACTATCCTTCCCGACGCACACACGCGCTCTGCTTGTCTGGCGCCTATATATGATGATCCTCTATCGCCTATGTCCTGCCTCAACGAATGTCATTATAAGCTCGCCCACGACCTCATGAATTATATAGCACGCACGGGATGACGACGAACAACCGATCCAACGGCATAATAACAGTTTGGATTGTTTGCTTTTTCTCTGCACGAATCTGATTCTGTTCTGTGGAGATTAACTCGTCGCCCACCGTTTGTGAAACAATATTACGTGTACAGTCGGTCTATGTGTATGTGGCATATAGGTCTCTGGTGCAATTGATTAACTTTGCGAGACTGACGGATTTCCTACAGCGAAGAACTTATACGAAGACTCGTCTTGATGCTTGCTTCTGCATAGGTCTCTATGATCATATTATTACCTCCCCTAACCAATAAGCACGCTTGTCTGCAAATCTCCTGAGAAGCTCTCATATATGCAGTAACGCTTGTCTTGACAGGATGTTTCCCTAGAGGTGGAATTGAGTTATTGTTCCACGTCATTAGTGAAAATTGAAATCAAAATGTACATTGATTTGCTTTGAACTTGACGATTTCGCAAGATCTCGTTTCGAGGCGTCTGTCAATGTAAAATGGGATTCTCAATGTTACCTATCTTTGCTGAATAAAAGTTTGTAAACTGGTATGAAGGTTTAGGTTTGGGTGTGAACTGCGTAGTCATTTTTACATATACGTATATTATACACACTCTGATCTTGTATAATCACGCAAGTTTGATATAATGATGATTTTATTATACACGTCTGGGAGTTCACAGATCCTTCACCGTCTTTTCATAGACAATTCAATGACGTATCTTCTGTTTTGCATATGTATTGTCCCTACGAACAAGACACAAAATTACCAACACCCACATCCGTCTAGGAATAAGTCTGGTAAGTTAGATTTTACCGGAAAATATCATATTATCAGTACGTGTATGGTTGAACTTGATTCTTCACACTTTCCACGCGTGTTTTCATATGTAGATGGTCTTTACAAGCGAATCTTGTCCTTTTGTCCTACGGGAATGCCCACACGATAGGAAATAAAAGACTCATTTAAGATTCACCAGTAAATATGATAGTTATATTTATGTCTATACTCGATGGTGTAGGAAGTTAGCATATAATGTCTGGTATTTTAGATAAAAAATTCTGTTAAGCGCTGCCTTACTAAGATATTTTCGGTATCATTTAGACATCAAAAACAAAAGTATGTACAATTATTTCACTTTTGCTATTTGACATTTGTGTATTTGTATATTAGTATCGTGTATATACTTTAAATGTCAGAAAATATTTAAATATAACATGAGTAACGATACATTGAAATGGTCATCTGAAAAGTCACATTTGATAGTGATTCATAAACACTCATGATAAAGTCGGAATCGTACATTGGACAGTTTTATACGCTATATTTATCACAGGTTATTATTTGAATAATTTATGATTGTCTGTCTATTAAGGCAGTTCAAAATACAATTTTCAACAAAATGAATTTTATTTTCAAATTTAATTATTTGAACACTGAATATCCCAATTTTCAGCTCATTTTAATCTGAGTGAGTGAGTGAGTTAATGCTTTACGTCACATCGGCAATATTTCAGCCATATCGTGATTTTACATCTGAACGTTAGTAACTATTACAGTGATTACCTCATAGATTATCATATGCTATTGTTACCTAAACCTGTTACCTGTTAACAAATAAAAGGAAATTACCATATATTCTTACTATGATTGAAGACGTTGCCAGGTAATTAACCGGGAAACTAGAAAATCGAAAGTCTAACAACTGAGAAATATATACATGTTATATGCATCTTTGACTCATTGCCACATTACAGAAATGTATAACTATGAAGGATATTCGTCAGTATACAGAAAGGTCCAAACCTTTGCCTATGGTTGTGTATCTTAGGAATGCCAGAACTGGCATGTGGGTTCGAACCCCAATTCGACATGATTATGTTTCTAGGTTTGTCAGCACCATACCCATGTCCGTGGGTTTCATTGAAGTGGTAAACAACTCATACCTGCACTTCGGGCCTTCCTCCCACATCAAACTGACACGCAGTGATATAACCAAAATACTGTTGAAAGCGGCTCACTCACGCATTACTCGGTAGTATTTCACTCGACCATGCGATGTAGCCAATACGGTATGTTTCATTGGAGTAGATAATCGGACCAATGATTTATGGTACAGTGGTTTAGGGTTTTGCCTTACGCCAAGAACGGGCTCAAAATAGACCCTGCGGAGTTCTAACCAGGGTGTTCGGGGGGCGACAAGCACTTCAACCACTACGATACACCACTAACCCCAATTCATGTTCGGAAAATTAAACATTGCAGTCGAACTCAATATATGTGGGCGTGGTCAGGTGTCATCGAGATAGGATGGGTAGGGATTGACCACATGCTTGTCTGAGGTCTCTCTTCATGACTTCAGTGCACCTTCTCTACAGATTAATGAAAACATTGTCAAACATGACAATGCGTCGATAACACGATGTATTACATGACACGTAAATGTGTTTGTTAAGTGAATGGCAACTGTTGTTGATGTCACTATGGTGCGCTGGCAAAGGTGAGGGTAGTTAGCTACCACCTAATGGTTATATTACAACATAGTCCATGTTTGTATGACGGAGAGACACATGGGAATACAAAGAATACATCAGTCACGACAGAAAACGATTGATTGGGATTTAACGGGTGGCCCAGTTGCGGATGACTCTGCAGTTCGCTGTGTGAGACAGGATTCACTGATCGTTGGAGTGTCCATACCAAAATTAGTTAGGGAGCATCCATTTCATTTCTATGGGGGAGGAGGGTGATTTTTGAAATGACCAGTTTGTTCAGAGATATGCTCACGATGAACAGTTTGTTGGCAGTGGTGATATAAATGAATAGTTTGTTTGCGTAAATAGTTGAAATGAAAAGATTGGTTGATGGTGCTCAGTAAATAAATAGTTTGTTGAACAAGCTGGGGGAAAATGGATTGTTCTTAAAAACATTTTCCGCACAACCTTCCATTTGATTTTATGAGGATGTGCTTGAAATGTTATGAACATAATGGGATAATGGACAATCACAGGTTTTATTGTTTTAATTGTTCTCCGGCGTTGACTCTTTATATTTAAAGAAAGACAAATTGATATATTTGAAAGTTGTAGGGTCATGAATTATCACATTATATCCACTTGACAGTTTAAAATTGTTCTTTTCTTTCCCGCAGATGTTAAAACATCACTGGGAAAGTATCATACAATCTGTTGCAACATATGTTACAAATATATCAATATGGAGTTTCTTTGTTTGATCGGGTTGGGCGTTTACACCTGCTGCGTTTATAATCAGCGTTTGTTCAGCATTGATGATATCCCACATTAAAGAATGTTTTTCCCCCCAGTCATTCATGTAGCCAGGAATTATTCAAAACTTGGACTTTACATGGGAACAAATATGCACGTTTGTTTCAAACGGATCGATGTTAAAGCATTCCATGTGTGTCAAGTGCATATGGTCACTGGTTGTTGTATGAGTTCTTTAAGGAAGAGTTGATTAATCGAAACCTTTAGCTGATAACCCAATGAAGTGTTTCGTTTACTATAACCTTGGTCATGAAGTTGTCATATGATATTAAAGATAAAATGAAGTGTGTGTTACTCGTGTGGTATTGATTGATGATGCAATGCATATGAGTCAATTCGGAAAGGTCGGGCGTTGGTTATCGTCTTTACACTAATAAATGCCTTAAATGAATAGGCGTCTGCTTAGAGAAGAGTGAGTGAGTGGGTTGTGTTTGAACAGCTTTATGTCACGGATTGACGTCGGCGGTGCTGCAGGTCTCAGACGTTTACCACTTTGATAATACAGGTTAGGTCTGCCCAATATATTCATGGCGCATTCGGTATTCGAACCCACGACTAAACGTAGGTGAAACAACCCGTTTTAGTCTGTGATGTTCTAGTGACACTGAACTGTTCTAGCACTGTGTGGAAAGTGTTGTAAGCTAGTTAGACTATATCAGTGGAGCGGGCGCGTGCCTGTTATCTCACATTTCATCTGACATTACATCAAGACCAGCTTTTCACCCTGTTGTTCACCCTAGGCCTATATATCTCGAAAGCTTGACCATGGTTGCGGCAAGGTGATTATTTTTCTTGTCATGGTCATTTCCACTGCTCTCACATTTTATACTGCCATTCAATATGGTACTACTACCCTATAGGGTACTGCGATTGTAATTGCTGGGCAGTATTTTGTATTGATTTGAAAACCTAGTTAATTTTGTAATACAACTGCTGATTGTATTCATTGTGTTTGTTTTTTGTAGGTTTCACACTAAATTCGTTTACGAACAGATTTTTGGGTTGACATATTATTTCAATTTGGAAATCGACACGTGACACCGAATTAAGGCGCCTTAGATGACTGGGCCACACGTGTCTGCTCAGAGAAGCAGGATATACAGAATACATATCTAGATGATCTATCAAAACATACAATATCGGACATATGAAGGTAACTACACATCTCATCTCATATGTATATACCTGCTAGAAATATATAGATAGAAGTACAAGGGTTGCAGTGGATTTAAATTGAAAGTGTATCTGATCAATTGAAGTAAGTCGATAGGAGAGTCTTCGCTATTTAAGGCACTTTGTGCTCAGTGAGCCAAAGCGCGACAACTCCAGTCGGTTCTCAGTGTTTTGTCCGATATGATGCGATTACCAGCTGGGTGTTGGTTCGAATCCTAACTTATATCATTTTGTCTCCATGTAAACTAAATGGTAGGCGTCTTTAGCGTGTTTAATATTGGGATTTCTACACACAATAGCCTGTCTGCTGTCTGAACCAATCTGACATTGGTGAAAATGTTTTGTTATGTAACAGATTCTAACTAACTGACTCGCCTCGATCTACCCTTCAGTCATCGACACATATTTTAGAGGTAATCAGCTTGGTTGTAAAGTGGCCTAAAATTCAAGATTGCCATTCTTGCTTCGTTATTACATCAGAAAAAATATACAATCCATATGTGTTTGCTTTTTGTTTGACAAACAAACCAGTGATTGATGTTATGAGCAACAACCCATACCTCAAACAATGATAACAATATAATGACGAAACCCATGAGATAGGATCAATGTACAATGATAACAATATAATGACGAAACCCATGATATATGATTAATGTACAATGATAACAATATAATGACGAAATCCAAGAGATAGGATTAATGTACATTGATTACAATATAATGACGAA